GGCATCCTAAAATCAAGTAAAGCACGCTGGAGGTGGCAATTGTTTAACTGGGAGACTGTCTTATGGTAGATGGTAGGTTAAAATCTTAGAGAATTATTTTCATTAAAAAGCAATGACATTGGCTTTATCCAACAAAGGAAGTAAAAGGGTAACTTTCCAGTTCTGTGGGATCACACTAATGCGTTTGCAGGTTTTTGTGGTTACATTTACATGGTTTTGTGGTTACACCCTGTAGAATAAAAATTGCATTATATTTTTTTTAGGATTATTGTCTTTAAATCAAGTGATATTAATGAGTCCCGGTTCCTACATGCCTTCATACAGAAAACAATGTCAAAGCACAGTCCCCATAGAACATATACTTAAATACCCAAAACACTGAATAAAATGTGAGTCTGGTTATTAATAATGGCTGCTAAGTATATGTTGGATTGATTATTAACATATTAATAGCATAGCTAATTACTATTTTGTATTTTAATTTCTCTCATCCATTAAGAAACCACACATTAAAAAAAAATCAGGTCATAATAGCAATACACTCCTTGTAGATTTTTTCCCTGGGAATTAAGGACTACATGAAATTAATGGTTCAAAGCATTCAACTCCTACAAACTGATGATTAATTCCTAGGAAATATTATGAAGTTCAATTGTATTATTACTTAATGGTCAAAACAGATCACCTCACTAAATTGGTGTATACATTTGAGTCAGTGCTTCTGAGCATAATTACATAGTATATTGCTTTCATTATACAACGTTATTAGTGAGAGCACAGTGTTAAGCAATATTAAATCCTTTAAGCCCTTTCTCTATTTGCTATACGATATTCAGAAAGAATTTTTTAAAATACTACTCAAATTACTTTACAAGTTCACCAGTGTCAAGAGCCTTCTCCTTTTTTAACATTTCAGCATTAATGTGAGAACATACCACATGAAAATTTAATTTGAAAACCTATCATTTAAATTCTGAAAGAAATGCATGTAAATTCTTGACTTATGTCTCATTTCCCTCATTTTGCCAAATGATAAAATCCAGCATATTGTACCCCAAGTCATGCATTATTACAGACTGCAGGTTTGCAAAACCACTAAATCACTGACTCTGTTATTCAGGGAAATATCATTACAACAGAATAGAAACAAGCCACAAAGTGGAAGATATTTTACTGAAATAAATCAAAAACAAGTCTGCCTATTGAAAGATTTTCCAAGGCAGAATCAAAATACATCTAAATGAATCTGAAGCCTAATTTGAGTTGAGGATGTGACACAATGTCCATATTACTTGATATGATAGGCAATTTGACTGTTTGCAAATGTTTATCAACACACTAATGAGATCACAGGCTCATCATGAGCACATTACAGTATACGCAGCCCTTATCCCCAAAGCAAAACCCATATTTAGAATCACCTAAATATAAAAGTGCATTAAATAATTCAAAAATTCTAGAAATTTCACAGACCTCAAATCACAGAAATTTAGTTTCTCTCGTAACTTTTGGATGTGTTGAAGTTAAATAGTTGATATAAGTGAATATATCGTAATTAAGTGATAAAAAGGCACAAATAGAAAACTCTGAAAACTTAAGTGATATAATCAAAGATGTTTAAGCGAGTTAGGCTTCTAAAGTAATCTTGCAAAGGGATTTTACTTGAATTAGATTTTGAAAGCCCCAAATCAAAGGGCTATATTCCTTTTTCTTTTCCCCCCTATATAGTTGAGTAATGGTGTTTCCCTGGGTTTTTATCTACTAAGATTTTCTAATAATTGCGGGGAACAAGTGAAATTAGGCTTGAACTTCTGTACTCCTTAGAACACTGCCATTTGGCTTAAATTAAAATGCAAAAAAAAAAATACTATTTATTTTTATTTCAAGAAGTGATTGGGCATAGGGATTCAGGGAATTAGAAAAAGTAGTGATTTAGGAAGAGAAAAGGTTGGCATGCATTCTTTTCCAATATAGAGTAAGAAAAGATTGCTGAAACAGCTTTCACTAAAGCACCATTTTCTTCTTCCTTTCTTCTTTTCCAACAACATTGTTGAAATTGTTACAATGATATCCTCGTAAAGCTCCGAGGCCAAGGTGTGGGCTTTTCTGTGCTAAACTCCGTGCTATGGAAGCAAGTCTTCTTATAATACTGTGTGAGTGGCAAAAAAAAGAAAACTTGAGAATTCTCTTTGAAGAATTTTAATTCTTGTCTGTTTCACATAGGTGCGTGCTAGCGCAATTGCCCAAGATGCTGATCAGAATTACGACTATGCCAGTAACAGTGTGGTTCTTCATTTGGAGCCAGGAGATGAAGTCTATATCAAATTAGATGGCGGGAAAGCTCATGGAGGAAACAACAACAAATACAGCACATTTTCTGGATTTATTATTTATGCTGACTGATAATGCAGAAACTAAGCTTATTATTCTGAGCTTGAACACTGGATTCGGATGGCTAACGTCAGTGAATCAAGGATCCCAGGGGATGCCAATTGCAGGGCACCTCAGTTGTGTATATGTGGGGAAATCAAACGCTACCTGACTCACATCTGTACCACTCAGAAAAACATTATGTAAAAAAAAAAAAGAAAAATTAAAAGCAAGATAAGCAGATGTGTGATCCACTACCGCCAAAGCAAATATTCCTTATTGTTAGTGTCCATGTGAATGAAGTCCTATATAGATCACAAATTTTTATAGAAAAATCTAAGACACTGAATTATTTCTTCAATATATATGATACTTTGGTGTACTGTGATCTTGCTACTTTTATCCATATGTCAGCTTTGGTTCTTGTGAGTTTACCTGCTTACTATGATACCTGGAGTCCATTCATAGTGTGAGGAAGAATGATTTTACCCTGCAGGAGAAGGTCTAATTGAAATAATGCTGCTTGTCCCCAAAGAAATTGTTTGCCTTGTACTTTTGTTAAGTGTAGAGCTAGACCTGGGAATGATTCAACTTCAAGCCTTAACCTGGAATTTTCTGGATTTGAGGGGAATTCCCAAACCTATGATCATTTTCGCATTTTCTTTTTCCTACAAATTTTCTTTTCTCTCTTTTCTGGTGACAGTCTTTAAAAATAGAGATGGAAATTGTATCATAGGATTACCCTCTAAGTGTGAAAATGTGTAATTACGTATGATATTTAGAAAATCCCCTATGTCTCCATTTTGTCAATAGAGTAGATTTAGATTTACTTGGAAAGTCAGAAAAATTTATTCTTTGGTATTAAATCAGACTGAGGCTTTTGCCTTCTTTAGAACAAAAGATTATTCCTAACCCAATGCACACAGGTTTAATCTGAGCTACCGCATGCATCACCAAGGGCACACTAAGTAAGGCCTTCAAACAGTTCCTGCAAGTCTGTGGCCTGCGGTTATTCCAAACTTAACAGTTTCACATATAACTAATATGACAAGAAACTGTATATATTTTATACAAATACCTGCTACATATATATATATGTTGGATGAAATATAGTATATATATGGCTTTAGGCCATAAGGAACAGTGGCTGTATAGCCTAAAAATTTAATTTAAAGACACACACACACATATGTATTCGTAATTTGACTTGTTTTGGATGACAAAATATATGAAGTAGCAAAATAATTTAAATGACTTTTCTTTGGTTATCCAGAAAACTATAAATTTTATTAGGTTCAAATGGCCTGTATGTCACATATAAGTTAAGCCCTATGGTTTCTTTATTATCATATGCCAATCAATACTTTAACTGCAGTCCAGGCAGACTGTTAATATGAGGATTGCAGAAATGAGGTGACTTTCCTTTACAATGTTGATGAATGATATGCATTTGAATTATTTTAAAATTTTTTTCTGAGGTGGATTGAAGCTAACAGTACAGTAGATTTTGAGAGTAATGCAAATCCTTTCTCTCTGGTTCAGACACACTGCCAAAAGCCATCTCTTTAAGGAAAAGATTAAAAATGCATGTTGATATATCCTAACTATCAGACAACTTTCACGATTACAATGAAAAATCTGTTCCTCTTTCAGTTGCCTTTGAAGACTCTTGACAAGTAGATTTCAAAAACAGAGATTTAAAAATCTGCTTGTTTCACTGGTTAAGGACATTTGCATTTTTTCATTTAAAGGCATTAGTTTGTTCTCCTGGCTTGCTCCTCTTTGGTACTTTCTGTTCTAATACATGGAAAGCTTGATCATTTCTATCAGCAGAAATATTTTTATTTAGCAAACCTCAGCTTTCCAAAAGTTATGCAGGGTGTTCCCATCTGAAGGTGCTGTTTGCTTTGTTTAAATGCCTTGCACTGAGTAACTGTCGTGATTTGTATAACTAAAAACACTTAGCCGATTCATCGAGAATAATGACTAATTCTATTTGGCCTTTCTAATATATAAGATAACACAAATGAATTATAATGGATTCTATTTTTATTTAACAATATGCATTTATGAAAGAGGAATTTGCATCAAGGTTTTGGAGAACTTTTTTTTAGGTACCAAATAGCATAATGAGGATTTGAGCAAAAGGTTAGTTTATAAGTAGCAGTGCCTATAAACTAAGAGTTCTAACTAAGAGTTAAAAAAATAATTTTACACAAAAAATCAGGGATGGGTACATCTTAAAGAGTAGGCTCTAGAATCAGACTGTCATTTCTAATAGATATGACCTTTTCTTCAGAAAAATAAGCATTATTTTCTCTGTTTAGGCCCAAGGAAAAACAAATAAAGGTAAAGGAAATAAAGGGAATATCTGTAAGGCAAACATTTCTTTTTTGCATTATATCTTATCAATTAAATTGTGGCCTTTGTTATTATAAATGTAACAATTCATTAAACTATATTATGTAATATATTTTGACTTTATGATTGAATTTTTATAATTTAGTACTTTATGTGTTCATACCCTCTTATACAAATTTTGCAGAACATGACAAAATTTACCACAAAATGGATACCAGAAAGCCAAAAGCATCAAAAAATGATTTATTAAAATATATAGATAGATGGACAGCATATAATTAACCTTCCAAAATATTTTTATCATTGTGAATTGGTGATTGTTATTACAGTATCCTTTGAAAAAAATGCCTCAAAATTTAACTTTCCTTGTTGCCAAAGCTATTTTCAAGTGTCATATTATTCATTAAGCATTAATTAAAGAACAGCAGGATAATTATTAGGATCATCAATATTACAAGAAAAATTAGATTGCTCCAGAAGGGAGTAATTTAACTAGTAACACTTTAAATTTTCTCAAGTACTGCAACTGATAGATTAGAACGAGAAGAAGAAGAAGAAAAACCTCCGCTTAGGGGATACAGACTTTAAATCATTGTTTGGAAATAGATACTTCTCTCTTTATTTTGCAAAGGCAAAACAATAGGGCTCAATTAAACTTAGTAACTCTCTAGAGGTGCAAGTGTAATAGTCAGTTTTGGAGAAGGCAGAACTCTCCTAATCTCATAAAGAGGAAATTATCAGTCATTAGTCCTATGTAGCTCTGATGACTACCTCACAGCTGGTTTAAAATCCTACTGAATGTTCTCTGCAAGTTTTATACTTAAGGTATAAATTCATAAGCAATCATCCTATTTGAACGTTAGCCATTGCTTAGGGTTCTCTATTAGTATCTTATCAAGCGTATTCTCAGTTATACCTCTAAGTAACATTTTAGGAACAATGTTGGTGAGTATGTGAGAATAGCCGTGACCTCCATATTTCATCAGCCGATGCTTCGTATGTATGTCATGTGCCATCAGAATTCGATCTTCGTAGCCCTCATCCACCAGGAGACGCACCCTGTGAAAAATGTTAACTCATTATTTGACATTGTCTCACATTTTAAATTTTCAGGGTGCTTTAAACTTTTTACTCATAAACTATTGTGCTTGTCATAAAGATACTGCCTTCTATTGTGGCATGTGTACTGGGAGACCCTTAATAAATATTGTGCGGTAATGATTAAGATATTGCTGCATCCTAGTAGGAACATGATCCTTATTCCATGCACACAGAAATTTCTAGCCTGTGATATTTATTACATTGCCTGGCAATTCTGAACTAAAGATAGCTTCTAATGGGATATGCCAGTTTGAATGAATGACCACGTTAGCATTTCACTAAATAACTTTGTTCTGAATTTGTATTCTGATCTCCTTTCTAAAATGCCTCTTTCAGTGGGCCCATTTTTCCCCAGATCTCATCCTCTCTCTCTCTCTCTCACCTTTTATCTAGCAAATAAAATCAATGACTATTTGGGATCAAAATAGACAATCAAAAGGAATCTTTGTCCAAGTAAAACATTCTGAGAGAAAAATCAGTTGGTTTGAAAGTGAACAGCATGTGATAAGCTAGACAGTCATTTTAAACAGGTAGGCAAAGGTACCTCTGTATTTTGAGCATTTTTCCCTTTGCAGTTTATGGGAATTCTGACTTGGTGTTAGTCTTCAACTACTGCATTAAATTGACCAATAAAAATTTATGCTATCTTCCTTCCAACGATCGCTAAAATAATGAGCAGTTCCTTTACATTTATAGTCTACTGACCAAAGAGCAGCTTCCCCCACTACTGTCTAAAATTTAATCTTCTTTGCTTTGTTAACTGCTGTACTCTTTAGTGTGAGTTGCCTTCTGACAGCCACCATCTATATGTGTCTGGAGTCTGGACAGTATCTATCTTGACTTCCATGGATCTCTGATGGCAGGAGATGCAACTTGGAGTCACATACTCTTCTATGGGATTCTCTGTATAGTCCTGTCAGTCTCTAGATCCCTACCATGAAAAATGGATGGACAGCAACTTCTTCCAGGGGGTAACTGTTTGAAAGGTATCCTTTATGTTTCCATACCATTTCTCGGCACTCTAGCCCACGAGTGATATTTAATAACAAGCCCTGGTGGCGCAGTGGTTAAGAGCTCGGCTGCCAACCAAAAGGTTGGCAGTTCAAATCCATCAGCCACTCCTTGGAAACCCTGTGAGGTGGTTCTACTTTGTCCTATAGGGTCACTATGAGCTGGATTCAACTCGACAGCAATGGGTTTGGTTTGGTTTTATGGTAAGCAAAAGGAGTCCCTAGGTGGTGCAAACAGTTAACATGCTCACTGCTAACCAAAAGATTGGTGGTTCGAGTCCACCCAGACGTGCTTAGCAAGAAATGCCTGGGGATCTACTTCCAAGAAATCAGCCATTGAAAACCCTATGGAACACAGTTCCATGAGTCTGAATTGACTGAACACATACTGTATTTTTAGGTTGAGGGAATGCAAGTGCCAAAGAAGAAGAACTAGCCTAGTGCTTTGTCCAAAAATCTGCATTCATGCCATTAGCTCCCCATGTGTGTCGTAAAAATGCATTTGTGCCACCAAGAGTATTTGCCTCATTGAAATTTATGTAAAACTCTAAAGTCCTGATCTTCAGTTACTTTTGGAACAAACTCTATTTAAGGGAATTATCTAAGAGAGTTATATGATTATGAGAAAAAAAAAAAAGAGAAGGACTTGGCAGAACACATCCACGATGCTGAAACTTAGTGTAACAACTCTTGATCCACAACTGAAAAGAAGTATCACAGAACAGAAGATTTTTAGGGAACACTTTTTCCATTATATCTCTGAGAATTTCCTAAGGTTTTTGTTACTTTTCATTGTCTGAGAAAAATGATATCTTATTATTACAAAGGCATATTATATGAATAAACAAATAATTACTGTAAGATACCATGTGTGACACCCTGAAACACAAAGTTATTGAATTGTGAAGTAGTAAGAAAAGAATATAATGGATAAGATACTCTAATTGTAAAATGGGAACCATTAGAACTCATTAAGTCAAGAATCTGGAGACTAGTTCTCTCACGAGAAAGATAATGCTATGACTGTAGAATCATAATCACATTCTGACTATCAAGAAATACAGCCTGGTCACTCTTGAAATGAGCGCTCCTTTCTCATGCTATGCTATTGTGAGGAAGAAAAGTAGTTAGAGAGATGCTGCCAGAAGGGAAAACCACTACAGATGAGAAGACAAAAAAATTACAGTAATTATAGAAATACAAATGAGTTAGTGTTTTGCAAACAAATATTAGAGAGAGACTACAAAGTGTGAAAAAGGCAGAGATATAATAAGATTTGAGAAATGGAGCATAAGATTGAAAACAGGTGTTAGACACAGAATTTCTGGTGCTAAAAACCAGAGGTAGGCAGAAGCATGCTTCTGTGTCTTATACTTCAGATCTAGATTAGTACGGATCAAAAAAGGAGTGCAAATGAATGATGAAAATCAGCAGCCTGAAAGGTGGGAGACAATGGGGTGCAGGAGCACACATAACCCAAAATGTCATTCAGTAATTAACGTGAGCTACACTTGGGTCAGAGGGCAACGGTGGGTCAGTGATAGAATTCTCACTTTCCATGCAAGAGATCCGGGTTTGATTCTGGCCAATGCACCTCATGTGCAAGCATCACCTGTCTGTCAGTAGAGGCCAAAATCAGCCAGTGAAAATCCTACGGATCACAATGGTCCAATCCCCAACTGATCATGGGGATGGTGCAAGACTGGGTAGCATTTCATTGTGTATGGGGTGATCATAAGTTGGGGGTGACTCCACAGTAGCTAACAATAACAACACACTTGGGTCAACACACACTTGGCTATGAGTCGGAATCGACTTGATAGCAATGGGTTTTTTTTTTTTTGGTGAAGTGATGTAATGCATGATTTTAATTTAAAGAAGATTAAGCACGCATACATATACATACATATATACATAGACATACATAAACACACATACACATGTAATTTTTGTTGTTTTTCCGTATATCCAGAAAGTTTACATTTGGCATTGTAAAAGATAACCAAAATTAAGTTCTTGAATAGCCAAAAGGCACTAAGAAGGAATGTTGAGGGGGCTGTGAATTGTCCTACCCTTAGATCTCCGTCATAGATCTCCCTCTATGGATTCTTATCTTCTGTCCCAGAAGATCTGGGAGCCTTATAGAAGGTGTAAGGTTGAAAAAGATACACCTCTCTGCCACATAGGAGCTTAGGAAAAGGAAGCAGATTGTAGGTGCAAACTGCCTTTGTCTGAGGTGAATTGGAAAACATGTGTTGAGGGCATTCATCAGGAAATCATGTTTTCGAGACCATGAAAGACGGGAAAGACCTACCACACCACTCATTTTTAAATTACAGATGCCTATAGGTAAAGAAAAGTCACTTGGTGGCACAGTGGTTAAGTGCTCGCCTGCCAACCAAAAGGTCGGCAGTTGGAACCCCAGTTGCTCCGCCGGATAAAGATGCAGCAGTCTGCTTTCATAAAGATTTACAGCCTTGGAAACCCTATGGGGCTGTTCTACTCTGTCTTATAGGGTCACTATGAGTAGGAATTTGACTTGATGGCAATGGGTTTGGTTTCTGGTTTGGTTTATAGATAAAGAATATTCACCTCTGCATATGGCACAAGCAAGTAGTGACCGAGGGAACCCGTTTGGCAGTACCGAACAGTGTTCCTGGGCAAGTAAATTAAAAACATAAAATAAACAAGCAAAAAAATCTGTCAAAGAACTGATTTGAGTACCTAAAAACCAACAAAAAAAGACCTAGTTTCATTAATCAAGTCAAAGCAGTTTGCTCATGTAGAGCTGGGTGTAGCCCTCCTTACTTAACTAGTGTTAACACTTATCAACTAACTCTCTCTAAGGATATTAAACTTGAAGCATATTTTACTGTTAATGAGGCCATCAAGGAGGAGTATCAATATACAGACAGCAGGAGGCATACAGGTCTAAAGGTCTACTACCCCAGGGGAAGGACCCAGGTTGTTCCAGTTGTGGTCACTGGTTAAGATCTTCCCCTCAACCCCAGAGTGCATATGTTCAGCTATCAATACCTGAGACTCAGTTTCTTGACTTCACTTAACAACTCCAGTTTTGTTTATTCCCATTCCAATCAGTTTCCCATACTCATAACCATATTCTGCTTCTACTCCCCCTCTGAAATGTCAAACTTCAAGTCCCCAAACTGACCACGAGGTCCATCCTTCAACTTTTTCACTTACTTTTTTTCCTCTACTATATATATTCACCCACTTCATTAAAGCCTCTAGTTATTTTCCCCTGCTATTTTATTACTATATATCTGCCCATTCCTCCTGCTCTTTCTTCCCGTTCCAGCTTGACCCCATGACCCTCACCTCAAGTACTCCCTTGTTCTCCTGGCTATTAACCACGTCTTTCAGATAGAACCCCAACCCTGGATCTTTCTGTTTACATTTTCAGCTTTTACCCACAATCTTCTCTGTTCCTACTACCAAAATACAAAACATTTTGGTGAAAAAAAATCACAAAATCATGTGCATGGGTGCCAATATAAAGTCATGATCTCCAGCCTCAATTGGGTCTCACCCATAACATGTCGCTGGTCAATATTTCTCATTCACCCAGCAGCCATTCCCAGCTTTCATCCTCCTCTACAAGGTCCTGCCCTGACTCCTTCTTTTCTCAGGATAACACCATGCCTACTTCACAGGGACAGTAGAGAACACATGGGCATATGTCCTCAGCTTCCTACTCCCCTCTTTAAGACATTTATCTGCATTCACACCATTACTCACCTCCTTTTATTCGGCTTTCTGTTTGCTTCTCAGATTCTATCTACTTTTCTTCTCAGAGGCCTTGCTCTATTTTTATTATCTCTTCAGATTTTTTTTTTAATATCTATTGAATACTTCCATATTCTGCACCACATACTCAGCTAAAAACTTTGTGCACTTTATTTCATATAAATTATTTTAACAACCCTGTAGAATATCCACTACTACCATGGATTCATTCATTCATTCTCTTCCTCCCTGCTCTTGCTCTCAGCCACACTAACATTGCTCAAGTCTTAACAGAATCTTCCTTTGATCCTGTGTTGTCTTTTAGCATCAGCCTTATGTCCCTGCTTCCCTTTACTACAGAGCTTCTTCACATTCTCTCCTCTTCCTAACCTCCTACTCATTCCTCAAGTCTTTTAAAACTACCGATTATGGAATGGGAGCCTTCTGACTGTGGAATCCAAAGGATTCTTTTCAGTCTTTATTTCACTTGGTATCTGCCACAAATAATAGATATTTAAGCCCTTCTACTTTAAGCATTTCTTATCATCAACTTTCATAACAATGCCATTTCCCTGATATTCTTATCACTTTGAAAACTTCTTTTTGACTTTGTTCTTAAGTTGCTCTTCCTGAGCTCATCCCTTAAATGTCAGTGTTCTCCATGACTCTGTCCATGTTCTGTTCGCTGAGTGACCTCATTCATTCCTGTAGTTCTAACTATCACATATAAACCAATGATGTCTAAATTTGTCTCAGCTCAAGTCTCTGCCCTGAGCCTCACACCCTCATCTCAGGGCCCCAGTGGAGAGCAACACGTAGATATTCCCAAACTAAACTCCTTGTCAATCCCAAATCTACTTTTCCTCCCAGGTTCCCTAAGTTGGTGCACTCTATCTTCATACCACCATGTAAAACAAGACCAAACCAGGTAGTTATCCTTACTCCTGAAGTTTTCCACTTGGTTGCAGAGAAGGACTCCTATAATTGTTTACTTTCACCACATATTAAACACTTCTGGAAGGTTGAGTTTTACATGATGTTTGATTTTTAAACATCATAGTTTTAGCATTTAAGTTGCAACTACCACTTTAGTGAATATTTTAAATAGACATTTCAGATATTCGTTGTAGGTGATAACTTTAGTGTGGTCAACATGAGAAAGAAATAATTTATTTAATTAGGAATAAAAAGAGGAAAATGTATTTTGTTCTCTTATTGTCATAGAAGGGATTGAGTTTTATCTGTGTTTCCTGTCAGCTGCCATCTGCACTGAACTTCTAAGGCTCTGCAAAGCTTTTGCCTACTTAGGATGACTCATTTTCTCCTAGAAATAATATATATAGATTTTCTCCCTGAAACAGCATAGACATATTTTTCTCTGCAAGTCTCTGATACAGCCTGCTTACTGTTTTCTGAATCTTTGCTAATATTCACCCAGATATGACTATCAGAAAGGGCTAGTAAAAGGGAATACTATGAGAGATTTTGTCATATTTACCTCCTAATTCTTTTATTATCATCAGGCATGTCAGTATCTGGGTCGAATTGATAATGAAGAAGTCCAGTACCAAAGAGATCATATTCCAAGTAACAGCCAAATTGAGCAAACTCCAGTAGTTCCTTCTTATCAAGTATAGTCCTAGAGACAATAAAACAGACATATGGAGATGATTAAGAGCATATTTTCCACATATACAGATTAGAAGTTTTAGGCATGATCTGTACTAGAACATAGTTTAAGTCAGGTAACAGAACTTTTCAGTTGGTTCTTACGATGTGACAATAAAACAGCAAGTTCAATTTGTCACCAGACATAAAAGAACTTACCCATCCAAAACAGAGTTCCCCCTACTAAAGTACTTCCCTAAGGAAACTATTACAGACTTATTTTAAATAAGCTGCCGTTTCTCAAAAACAATTTTGTGATTCTCCTTCAGAATTATCTTCAGGATATAGCCCATAATCTTTTGAAAATACTTAGTGAGGTAAATTTTCATACTCTGAGGACTACTGCGAACTTTGGAAACTATCAGAGGAAATTTGGCATCAGGCCTGATGAATTAGGTGAGCAATACTAATCTGAGTAAAAAATAAATAAGGTTTTATCATAAGGTAACAGGGCCAATTTTCTTACAAAGTTCATAAAGTGTTTCTAAAATTAATTCCAAAGCTTATGTGCATATCATTCCAAGGTTTATTTTCTTTTCCTTAAGGGACCATATTCATATAGATATTTAAGTTTGGGTGTGCTTTTTTTTTTAATAAATTGAATTATTTTATAGTAATTTTTATGGATGTCTTTTCATTTCAATAGATATCATTTTTAAAATATCACTATTTCAGAATGTAAGGGTATGTAAATGAATAGGAAGGGAAAGAAATGTAGGGTGATCACAGGAGACAGAAGGGAGTAGAAAGTCTAGAGCAAGAATAGATTATCTCAAGAAATTTAGACTATAACAAGTAAGAAGGCATGGATTAAGGTAACCCCAAAATACTATTGTAAAGATTCAAATCCTACCAGAAAATATGTAAAAGATGTAGGGGAAAAACACACCCACTGGACATTGTGTAAAGGGAGTTGAAGACCTACAGGAAGAAAGTGGTTTTGGGACCCAAAACTGTCCTGGAGAAGAGTTGGCAATATCAGACAACCATTATCTTATTAGGCTTTTATCAGCTCTGATGTTCTACACTCTGGCAATGCCAGAATGCAAGGATTAATATACTATTATATGTCCATAAATCTGTTTCTAAGAGGTCAGAAGTATTTTCAAAGCTTTTCTTCCAAACTGTAAGAGGACTAATTAAGCCTCTGTGTGTCACGGGTGAAAGAGATTTTTGCTTTCCTGGGATGCTTCCTGGGAATTGACTACATTGACTTTCAATCTGAGCAATCATATCTGAGGAGTGACTGGCTCCTTTTTATTCCAGTCACTAGTTTAGCATAATTTATACTTCACAATGTTGTTTTAGGCAGGGAGGCTAAAAAATCTTTCTTTTATACTATAAAATGTGCATTATTTCTGTACTGTCTTCTATTAATACTACTTCATTTCCATCTTTCTACCATGGAGACCATCAATTGCTTCCAAAATTACTAGGCTAAAAGAATATGACTTTCTGTAGTAAACATATTCCATTTTCTCCAAAGAACATACTTAAAAACAAAATATACACAATTAAACTAACATAAGGGGAAAGGGACAAATTTAGTATTTTTCTTTTGAGTCAGTTCTATTCAACTTGTTAACTACCCAACATGGCCAAGGTACTGGGTGGAGGAGGGAAGTCAATAAGGGGAGGGATGCCAATAACAAACTGGATTAGACTCTATCTCAGCTCCTAGTGTCTTTTTCTTTCTTTGGCCTAATGCCTTGATGGTAAGTGTTCTAACTCTTAAGTATCATATTAAGGTATATATTAGTGCAAAGTCTATAGTAAATGTAAAGCCATCAGAAAATCCTTGCGTTTTTATTCTAATCGAAAACAAGAAGTTGCTTATCATCATCATCATAATAGCTGACAATGATAAGAACTTACTATGTGTCCCTACCACCCATCTGTCAGTTTTTTGTACTGTAGTGGCTTGTGTGTTGCTGTGATGCTGGAAGCTATGCCAATGGTATTTCAAATACCAGCATGGTGGGCAGGTTTCAGCAGAGATTCCAGACTAAGACAGACTAGGAAGAAAGGCCTGGTGATCTACTTCCAAAAATTAACCAATGAAAATTTTATGGATCACAACAGAGCACTGTCTCTCTTGCTTTGAATACATTATCAGGAAGGATCAATCACTGGAGGAGGGCATCATGTTTGGTGAATTAGACAGCCAATCAGGGTGAGGAAGACCATTGGTGAGATGGATTGGCGCAGTAGCCACAACGATGGACTCAAACATGCTGGCATTCATAATGATGACTTAGGACAGAGTAATGTTTCATTCTATTGTACATAGGGTCGTCATATCTATTATGTGTCTGGCATTGTGCTAAGTGCTTTACATTTATTATCCTATTTAATATTCTCCATAATACCATCAGTTTTTAATTTTATAGATTAGGAAACAGGGACTTGAGAGATTAGATACTCACTCAAGGTGACACTCCGGAACATAAATTCAGTTCAAGGCTAGACTCTACTCTCTTAACCATCTTACTACACAACTTTTTCTATTGCTAATTTTTTTTTACTCAAAGGACATTTTCCAGAATTACACTGAATGAAGGTGCACATAGTGGGGTTCTCTTTATTTTGATACTAGATTCCTTTCCCATAGTACCTTCAAAATATACTTAAAAAATAGGGACTTTGCCCAAAAGGTAGTATGCAGGAAAGGGGTGATAAACCCAGAAAAGTAAGAAAGGATTCGTTTGTGGAAGTCTTTAATTGCTAGGTCACTGTGTAACTAAATACAGTGTAGGTTTGGCCATTATGGTTATTTTGGACAATTCAAATGACATGGTCAAAGGAGGTAGGGGAAGAGACTACATTAATCATGGCTACCACTTACTTTCTTATTATGAACCTGATATTGCTCTAAGCCCTTTACAAATGTTAACTGATTTAATCCTTGTAAGTACTCAGTGAGGTAGGCACTACTGTTGTTTCCATTTAAAAAACGAGGAAACTGAGGCACATTTTATGACCATACCAGACCTCTCTCCTGAACTCCAGTCTTACATATCTCTGGACAAGTTCTCTGGGCTAATACAGCCCTAATACAGCCTGCTTGCTGTCTCCACTTGGATGTCTAATAATCAGATCCCTCATCTACTATCCCAAATTGGTTGCTCCAACATCCTTCCCTATCTCACTTGATGGCAAGTCCATTCTTTCAGTTGCTGAGGCCAAAAACCTTGTAGTTATCCTTGACTTCTTTCTCACTCTCACACTCTACATGTAACCCATCAGGATAGCTTCTTGGCTTGACCTTCAAAATATAATCAGAATCTAGACATGTTACCACCTCTCCTGCTACCCTCTTGGTTCAAGTCACCCCTGTCTCTTGCAGTATCACTGCAATAGTTTTCCAACTGGTTTCTCTGCTTCTGCATTTGCTCCACTACAGTCTATTTCAGATGCAGCAACGAAAGCAATATCTTCAAACCTTAGATCAGGTCACTCCTTTGCTCAAATACTTCCAATGGCTCCCCATTTCCCTCAGAGCGAAAGCCAACTCCTTACAGTGGTCCACAAGGCCCCGTATGATTTTTTTGGATGTGGTCTTACAAAAGCCTCATTTAAAAGAGGAATGGGGAATGTAGGGACCAAATGCTCCAGATGTCATTTACATATAAATGTTATCTATATTATAAAATCTGAAGAATGCCACCATACGTGGAGATCTCTTTCTAGAAGAAGATGTAATGCTATTCAACAAGATTCACCTACACACGTGTAAGTAGGTGTAACCCCTGGGAATACTTACCCTATAGGACAGCATGTAGAAAGGAATGTGACATCAAGGGAATTGATCCCTCTGTAATACAATCTTAAAAATCTCACGGTTAGATATAGCAGAGAAGATTTCTTCAGAATGAGAATAATTAAGCTGATATTTTGGATATTAGGAAAATGCAGATAAAGAAAGGGGGCAGGGAAATTTGCTGTAATTAAAAAGCTAAGACTATACATATATATGTGCAAACATATATGAATATACATATATATTAGTATGTAGGCAATAAAGAAATGAATTCACTTAAATTGTCCTTATTGAAGGAGGAAACAGTACAAAATTCAAAGGGAGAAAATAGTGTCATTGAGCAAAGATCATTTTCAAAGGAAAGCTGAAAGACATAGAATTTGGTATTAGATGTTAATGACGGGTAGGATGGGAGAGGTACGTGAAGAAAGAAAACAAACACCTAACAATCATCAGATATTTAATACGGCCCTATTTCATTCAATCCTTACAAAAACTATGAGAATGGTATGACCACCCCATTTTACAGATGAGGAAACTGAGGAGCCGAGAAGTTATGTAACTCAGCTTCCAAGCTGAGGACCTGTGAATCATCCTAGATTGCTTTTGTCTTTAGAATCCAAGTTCTCAGACCACACTGCCCCTTCTGTGATGAAAGTACCCACCCACCACCCACCCACCACAGGAGCTCTATTCCTCCTCCTCAGCAATTACTCTCTGGAGAAATAAGCCCCATCACAAAGATATAGACAGCCCCTGTGCTGTGAATGCCTAACAAGGTGACTTAACTACATTAAATTGACATTCATTTGGATGACTTCCAAGACTGCCAAGGTGCTACTGAAGTTGCATTTATGCAAGTAACTTTTTTTCCCCCTTGGAGAAACGACTGACCCTGAATGTCAGTATGGTACCATGGGAAAATGCACTCTGCTTGACGTATTTCAGATGAGGATTAAACAGAGGTCCTGCCCTTCCCAGTCATCAGTGATCTCACGGCTCTTATCATAAGATTGGAGGTGTTCACCTCAGCCAGTTTTCCTCATTCCCTATTCTATACCCATGAATAATTATATTCTTTCTTATTTCAATTTTCCCTATCCTTCAAGGTAGGTATTTTTCACTTTTGCCCTAAACAGTGAGGTGATTATGAGAGGCAGTAGAGCTACTGCACTTCACAATGAAGAAAGTCTCTTCTTCAAGGTGGATGA